GAGGATTGGCAGCTGTCTCGAGCCAATGGGGCACGAGGCAGGACCCCCCTCCCCCCTTACAATGGCTTGGAGGGGATCTCCCACGTCCTGGCTTTTGCTGCGGGTGGGGGGAGCCCGGACGCCCGGGGTCTGTCCTGGGGGGCCTGGAGCCCCGGGGCTGCGGTGGGCAGCGAGGGACAGGGCCGTCTGCGCTGCTGCTGCCCCCTGCTGGCGAACACGGGACGTGCCGCCGACCTCAGGCTCGGTGTCGCCGCCTGGGCTCTGCCCAGCTCGGTCAGGGGCGGGGGCGCCCACGTGACCCAGCCCATGCGTGGAGGAGGGGGTGTCTCCTCCGCGGTAATTTACATCTCATTTGCATAACAGGCAGGGCCAAAAGCCCCTCCCTTTGCCCGGCTCTAGATGGACAAGCCGTGGGGGCGGGGCATTTCTCCCCCTCCACCCCCATTAGCACTCCCCACTTAGCGCCAGGTCTCCGCGGGCTCCGGGACTGGAACCCGAGGCCCGAGTCTCCTGGGAGAGTCCTCTGCCCCCCAAACACCAGCCTCCTGCAGCCATGGCGGGAAGTGGAGCTCCAGCCCTACAGCCCTGTGGGGCGGGAGTGAGAGGCACCAGTGCGGGTGGGGCAGGTCGGGAGTGAAGGGCAGCACTGAAGGGGCAAAGGCCTGTGGGTCAGGAATGAGGGGCACCAGTTGGGCAGGGGCCTCTGGACGCCTGGGCTCTCTCCGGGCTCTTGGGTAAAAGTCTCCGCTTCGCTCTTTATTGGGGGGGGGACAGCACTTTTTCCCCCTCCGACAAAAAAAAAAGAACACAAAGCCCTAAAAGGGGCAGGCCCCACACCCTCCCCCACGCATCCACCCCCGCTCCCCCCGCTGCGGCCTCGTCCTTGCCCCCACTCCGGGGCAGCCCTGCCCCCCGGGCCGCGCGTGGGGGGCGGCGCGTGGGACGGGTCCATGAGGCACAGCGGTGCATGGGCGGGGCCTGGGGGCAGGGGGCGTGTCCTGGGCACCATGGGGTAGGGTCAGTCCGGGGGAGGTGGGGCATCGTCGGCCCCCCCACGCACAGGCGGGGGGGGAGGGGGCCCCAGCGGCTTGGTTA